TTTGTACGAGTTGGTAAAAAACTCGTTACACTCAGTTTTTGCATGGCTATTGGTCTTCACAGAGCGGTATTTCTCATTTTTGCAAACAATACTAGCAAAATACCGAGAAAATACCGAGCAATACCGAGAAAATCGCGAACATAGCATTCCCGGCGGTTCCGCTCTGGGTCAAGTCGCTGGGCCGCACGATAAAGATAAGAGCACGTGGGACATGTTATTGGCGGCCGAACGTAGCTCTACGTCCGGTCAGAGACGTATAATTGTTTTTATTGAAGTGTTGATATTTTCAATGTCAAATTTGAGTATATTCTAAAAGTTTTTTAAAATGGTTTTATTATCTTTAAAATAAGTAATGAAGAATTAATGATCACTTTCTTTGAACTTGCCAAGAAAATTTATCTTCTTTGAGGGACTACTTTATATACGAAGAAGCACCCACAGATGGCACTGTTAAAAGTTATTTTTGTAGATATAAAAATTAATCTTGATTTGGAGAACACTTGATTAATTACTAGAGAGCTTATAACATTATTTATCTCTCTTCTTTGACTTGATCGCCCAAAGTCACAATCCCATCACTAGATCTATTGCTACTAAAATTACACTCCATATATTCAGTTTTATATCTACTCAAGCAAAAACGTTTAGACTCTAAAGTTGACATCCATAATTCGAGTTTACCTTCAACTCCCTCTCTAGTGTTATCAACAAGAAGAATATCATCAGCAAAAAGCATACACCAAGGTACATCCTCTTGCAAATGTCTAGTGAGAACATCCATGACTAAAGCAAAAAGATATGGACTTATGTCTGATCCTTGATGTAATCAAACCAAAATAGGAAAATACTTGGTCAAATCACCTTGTGTTTGAACACAAGTAATAGCTTCATGTCATAGCCTCCTAGCTAGCTAAAGCTACATGATTTAACTAAAGAAGCTTTTTAATTGAAAAACATACGAGGATGAAAAAGAAATTTGGCATACACTTTATCACTACCATTTTGTGGAATTTTTGTATAAGATTTATTAAATTCATGCATGATGATGACATGGGAGCCATGTTATTCACTTTTTGATTACATATTGAGGTCATAAGCACAATGTAGAAAATCCAAAACCTATAAAGTAAGGAAAATGCAAGATTGAAATCTATCTTAAATCATAACTTATGTTTCATTTGGACGGTTTTCTTACTGCTTCTTAAAGTCGTTTTCTAAAACAAAAAAAAAAAGTTTTGTACTAAAAAGTTGTTTTAAGAAGCATTAAGAAAGCCGTCCCAAATGTAGCATTAATTTGATGAAAGATGACGAGACAAATGATGAAACTCTTATGATTATATGTAATTTTATTTTGATTTTACTCTTCATTATTTTTTTTTCATGCCTTTTGATATTTCTATGAGTCCTGAAATTCTTCATGATTTACTCATAAAATTCTTTCTTATAAAGCCTTATATTGTGAAATACAACTAATGTTATTATCTTTCTTTCAAATTTAATTTAGGGCAATTTAAGAAATGTTAATCATTTTGATAATTTTCTTGCAAAAAAATTCAAATATTCTATAATGCAATATAGAACAAAAATTACTCAAAGTCTTTAATCAAAATGTCATAGCCAGCCGAATTGTTTGACGTCAAGCACATTGTTTCCTTTTTTTCCTTGTAATAATCCTCCTCATTTGGAACCTCTGCTTCTCTATCATAAACCTACTTTGTAGTGCAAGCCCTCTGCTATAAATAGCGCTCATTCGGCCACCACAGCTTCTCATCCACCATTCCATAAACAACAATGGCTACAAGCAATAAGCTCACGGCTCTTGCATTGTTAGTTCTGCTTAGCATTAGCTTCTGCCTTTCCTTCGCAAGGTCCATGAAGCAGGCTAGCAAGCCAAAATCAAGTTCTGGCTACCACGTAACTGATGATGGCGACGGAGGGGACGGTGGCGGCGAAGGTGGCAGCGGTAATGGCGATGGCAGCGGTGGTGATGGTAATGGCGATGGCAGCGGTGGTGATGGTACTGGCGATGGAGGTGGTAACAGCGGTGGCGGTGATGGTGGAAGCAGTGGCGATGGCGGCAATGGTGGTGGAGATGGCAGTGGTGGTGGTGGAGATGGTGGCGGTGGTGATGGCGGCGGTGGCGACGGAGGTGGCCGCCGTTAATGGCTTCGTAGAAGCAGGAGGTTGCTGCGGCCACCATCCTTGTGGTGGTGGTTTAGTCCATAGTAGAGGGCTGTGGAAGTGGCTGCTTTCAGCTATTGTCCTTCCTCATAAATAAAAGTTTCATGTCATAGCCTCCTACCTAAAGCTACCGAAGAATAAGACCCAGAAAAGGTCAATATTGTGTGGTGGTATATTTGTAACAGTTCGATGAAATAATGTGTGACTTGGTGAGCTTTCATGAGATATATGTATTACTTATATATAAAATAAGAAACCTTCTGCTTCTGCTTCTGCTGCTGCTTCTCTTCATCTCATCAAATTGATTTCATGTGATTTGATTCCACCATTCAATTAAAACGTAGGGATATTGCTCGTAGGTTTAAGAATATTAAAAATTATGTTATGGTTTAAGAAGAAATATATATATAATTTTAAAAACAGATCTCATAATAATATGGTTTTACATATTATCCATATTATTAAATAATTTTTATTTATGAATTTTATATCAGTTTTTTTTTAATATGTTCGTTTAGTATGTTTTTCAATTAACTTTTCAAGTACTCAAAAAAACATTTAGAAATTTTAAAAATAAATATCGTAAGCCATTTGTAATTATAAATAAATAATTAATTGATTTTAGAGGTCAAAACCATTGCAAAATTTTGCAAAACAATTCAAATCCGTCGTAAATTTCAGTTTGTGGAGGATTCAATTTCGATAGTAAAAGTAGCGTCGTAAATGTATTTGCAACAAAAGTAATTCATCGCAAATATTTTGTGGGGGATGTGCGACGGAATTGAATTTGAAAAAAATTGACGTCTTCATTTTTGCAAAATGCTTCAAATTCCATCGTAAATTATGATGGGTTTGTGGTCGACGGAATTTCAGTGGAAATGTAGTCGTAAATTGTGGAAGAAATTCAGCCGTAATTTGCGACATACTGTTCCGTCACAAAATACGATACTCGTTCATCGTTTCAATATTTATTGCAGAATTTCTCGGTCAAATTTGCTGGAAATCTGTAACATAAATAAAAAAGTAGCCCTTATATATAATTAATTATTGGGCTTTCCAATAATAACAATCCAAGCTATTTAAAAGCACTAGTTAATAATGTTAATATTTTTACAAACAATGCTAAAATAAACATAAGAAATATACTTTTGTACAATCAAAAACTAACTGCACAAATAGACAATCACATTCAAACTATTATATAATTACTACAACAGTGTTATAGTATCAATAGTTCTAATACATAAAAATAAAATAAAATCCATCAAAAATCGCTATACAGATAATCTAAGTGATATCTATATCATCACTCTCATGATCGGTCGAAGCAGGCGCAGGCTGATTTCCACCAATTTGCTCTCTCAATCTTTGAAACCTTTCAGTATCAAAATGTTAATATCCGCATGTGATTTTCGGACATTTTCTAGCTTTGTTGTCAAGTTAGCCACATGTTGGTTATATATACAAACTCTTATGGTTGTTTGTAGAGTAGCTAGATTATCAACAAAGAAGAATATCATCAGCAAAATGCATACCTTATGGTGGCGGTGGATTTCATTGCAAAATTGATTTCCAACAATTTTCGCTCTCAATCTTTTTGTACTGTGTTCTGGAGCTTTCCATGGTTTTCATTGCATTCTGTTTGAAATTGTTGGTGTTTGGGCCGGGCTTACTTTTCTTACACTCTGTGGATATGATGTGATGAGTGTTAGATGTACCCCTAGGTTAGGAACGATATATATAGTGTTCTTCCATACAGGTGGCAATGACTCATACTAATAAAAGGGGGGCACTGTCATGATTTCTAACGTTGTTTTATGCAGGTGCTTGCTCAGCCCCACCCCCTCACCCCAAATAAATGAGGTCTAAATAAAAATAATTAAAATTGCTACATGTGCTATGGTGGGAAAAATTATGTATCACCACGCAGATTTTAATTTCTCTTATTTTGTAATCGAATACTGTATTGAGAATAAAGTACGGTCTCGAGAGGCCGACACAATATTCTACAATGGATTCAATATCAAAATAGGGTTTTGAAAATTGATATTGAGGAGAGATCCAAGGAGTCCAAGGAAGAGAGATACAAGGAGTCCAAGGAGGGGAGATTCAAGGAGTACAAGGAGAAGTGATCCAAAGAAGACTGAAGACCTGAAGACCAATATCCCACTCAAAGTCATTTGCGTCTGTCATAGGCTTAGAAATCTGAGTTGTTGACAGTGGTGCCTAGCCACTTTTTTTTCTGTATATCTGGGTTGTAATAAGGGCAGTTTGCTTATGGACATTTAATTTATTTGTTGGATTTATATTGATGTGTTTTCTTGATGTACGCAGTAGAAATTGCCTATTTTTTTTCGGTTTCTTTCTTGCATGTCGATTTTGTTTTCACTTGGAGATCGTTAGGCTCTTTAAGGACTATAAAAATTTTTCAATTCATAACCAAAATTTAATATTTAAGTTTTAAATAATCTAGAAATTTAACGAACCTAAGAAATCGTCCGGGGTTGCATGCATATTATTGCATTTTTTCTCTCCTTCTTATAAGATATCTCCCTGCCTACGGGTAGAGTCTGGATAATCTAGCCTATGATGATGAAGTGTCGGACCTAGGGAGACCCATTATTTTCTAAAAATTATTTTCTAATAAGCCTGTTTTTAAATTATATAGCATACATGATTTGGAAGCCTCAACTAGCATGCATTGCATTAGTAACAAACTAATTAAAATTTAATTGCATTAGTTAGGGGCATTCACCCAACATAAGTCCAGGACCAATTAGGAAATCCTCTAGATGTCGATCCTATTTCCAAAGAACTGTCCCACCCACCCATCTTTCATAACTGACTTGATAGCATAGTTTTAAAGCGACTAGGTGGTTAGCTGGCTCCACAATCCAGGCCGGGGTAAGTCCAAGTTTTATACTACATTAGCTAGGACATGGATCTTAGTGTTGTGTAGAACACTAAGCCCAATCTAGATTTAGGATTCAAGGCTACTACATGCGGTCTCATAGTATGCCTTAAATAGTAGGTAGGTCCTTTCCTTTCAGGGACTATAAATCCTACTTGTTCGCGTCACAGGATGACGTCGCTTCTATCTCTTCTCTCACGTATGTGATTGGATGCCTGACTTTTATTTTCTCCAATTTTTCTTTAGTACCATAGAGCCTCCGAATGCTAGTGTGAATCACGCATGTTGATTCAGTCCTTCGAACCTTTTCTTCCTTTTGAGTAGGATTTTTTAGTCTACACCCTTGTGCTGATCCCACCTTGGGAAGGATAATATGTGATCCTTAATCGAGAGTCTTCTCGGGCTCCGGCCTGGGATGTAATTAACCACGGGGGCTTGCCCCGTGGGAATCTTGGCCCCACATCTACTAAACCCCATTCGAACTATTGTATCGGGTGGGGGAAACCAGTGATTTGGTTGTGTATATTGTTACCCATCGGGGTGAGCTGGTGAGAGCCGTTATCCTCAATAGTTAGTCGTATGCACGATCTAATCTATCCCTTCCAATTGACTCGTTCGCGCGGTGCTCTTTCGGAGGTCCACAACTGCACCTTTATTTTGCTTTAGTTGCACTTTCATAGATCAAGCCAAAGAGCATTCAAAGCGTAGGTAAAGCGCATCAAAGAACAGAAGAAACTGAAAGATGAAAATAACTATTTACATAATCAATAGGAAATGATACCATGAATGCAAAAACACAGTGAAAGCACACATAAAACATAGAAAAAATTAGTAAAAAAATAACAAAAGTATTAATATGCAGTAAAAGCGCAACAATGACACAACATTTTTTACCTATTTTTAAAAGCAGAGTAAACAAACTTCTACTACCCCCAGTTGGTCCTAGAGAATGAAAATGCTAAAGGTTTAGAAAAATTGCTTCTAGAGAACCGAATAAGAGGAGAAAGAGAGTGAAAAGTTAAAAATATCGGGTGAAATGTAAAAAATCCCATTTCGCATCTTTTGAACTCCTGCATTCAAATTTTTGAGGTCGATCAGGCCGATCAAGCTGACAATACATAAAAAACAAGTAATATACCAAAATAAAATCTACGTCGATGATCCCATGCTTCCTATGTACTGTAATCAAACCTCCCTAAAATATCCTCATACAACTATTTTTCTTCTTCACTCACATCGGCCTTAGCCTATCTAAACCTCCATAGAAGTAAACTTTGCCAATCATCATATATTTCCAAATTATCACCAATCAAAAAATAATAATAATAAATAAAGGGGCATTGATTGGTTGTTCATTTTAGTCCATATTTGACTACTTTATCAGCTCGCTTTTAGGAGACTTGACTTCACTTCACAGACATGCTTATAATTTGATGTCTTCTTTATGGCTTGTTTTTTTTTTTTAATTTAATATTATTGATACATTAAAATGCTAATTGTATATGCCTACTAATTAAAAGTAAAAAAAAAAAGATAATTAACAAATAATTAAATAAAATTATATATCAAGTCTTTGAAGTCAAGTCAAGTCTTCTATAAGTGAGCTGTTAAAGGAGTCAAATATGGACAAAACTGAACAATAAATCAATTCTCCATTTTTTTATCTGTGATTCTTTATAAGTATATGATGATAGTCAAATTTAGATCGTTGGAGATTTAGGTAGGCTAAGGCCGACAAGATAACCTAGAATGAAGATGAATAACTTTATTTGGGATAATTTTATTAATAAATAATTAAAATATAGTTTAAATTAATATAATATTAATTACTTATATATTTTTATATCAAAATAAATTCAAGAGCTTAAGACATTAAAATATTTGTCAGAATATCATCTATAGAAGAAATTGTTCGTGCGCAAAAAAAAAAATTTATCTTAAAATAAAGCAAGTAATGTGACTAACAAGTAAATTTGTTTATCTCATCCATTGATGAGGTTGAGAGTAATACCCATCTTTAATGAATGAGTGATTGTTATCCTATCACCTTTTCAATTAGAGCAAGGCTTTAGCTATAAATAGCGCTCATTCGGCCACCGCAGCCTCTCATCCACCATTCGATAATCCACAATGGCTAGAAGCAATAAGCTCAAGGCTCTTGCTTTGTTAGTTCTGCTTAGCATTAGCTTCTGCCTTTCCTTCGCAAGGTCCTTGAAGCAGGCTAGCAAGCCAAAATCAAGCTCTGGCTACCAAGTAGCTGATGATGGGGACGGAGGAGGCGATGATGAGGGCCCCCGTGGTTATGGTGGTTATGGTGTTGGCCAAGTAGGTGGCAACAGCGATGGCGGTTATGGTTATGGTGGCGGTGGATATGGCAGTGGCGGTGGTGGTGACGATGGTGGTGGTGGATATGGCGGTGGTGGATATGACGGTGGCGATGGCGGTGATGGTAGCGGTGGATATGGTAGTGGTGACGTAGGTGATCGCCATTAAAGGCTGCATAGAAGCAGTAGTTTGCTGCGACAAGTGCTATGGAAGTGGCTGCTTTCAATTATTATCCTTCCTCTTAAATAAAAGTTTCATGTCATAAATAAAAGTTTCAATGGTCAATATCGTGTCGTGGTATATATGTATCAGAGGATGAAATAATGTGTGACTTGGTGAGCTTGATTGTCATCAGATATCAGCTTACTTATATATAAAATAAGAAAACTTCTTGTTCTGCTTATGCTTCTTTTCTTCTCATCAGATTGATATCATGTGATATGATTCCACCATTCAATTTTAACGTAGCAGTTAGAAATTAACTTTGAGAGCTCAGATATTGCTCGTAGGTTTCAGAAGATTACTAATTATGTTATGTTTTACGATAAAAAATATATGAAATTTTAAAAATATGTCTCATAATAATATGGTTTTAAATATTATTAAATGTTTTTTTTATTTCTGAGTTTTATATTTATTCTTTTTTTCTAGTTGCGAAGTTATAGTGGAGCAAAAAGAAGTGCATGAATAAAATTCTAGGAAAGATTAGATATAAAAAAAAATCTTGAAAATAATTAATATTATATTAATTAGAAGTTTATTTTAATTTTTTTAATAAAAATATCCTCATACAATTTTTTTTCTTCTTCACTCGCGTCCGCCTTAGCCTATCTAAACCTCCAAGGAAGTAAACTTTGCTAGGGTTTTCCTAGTTTGCTTCCTCTCAGCCGCCGCTTCCGGCTGGGAGCCTCTCCCCTATGTCTGATGATGGTTTTCCCCCGCTCACTACCTCATCCACTTCTAAAACCCCTCCTCCTTCCATTTTACCTCTATGGAATAACCTCTTAACTTCAACCCTTCAAATATCTACTGATTTTTCTCACTCGCTCGGCTTAGTTCCAACTCAAAACTTCACGGCTAACTTTACCACAGAGCAATTTGTTGCTGGTGCGCCGGAATGGACTCTGTCGCTGGTGGGTTACTCCATCGGGAAAAGACCTTTCTACGAAGCCCTACTCTCGACGATCAAGAAGGCTTGGCAGCTAAAAGGAGAGCTTTCTCTCCTTACCATGGACGATGGCTTCTTCTTACTCAAATTTTCTGCTCTTGAAGACTACGAATATGCATGGACCAGAGGCCCTTGGTTTTTCTTTGGAAAGCCATTCATTTTACAGAAGTGGACTCCTGATTTCGTTCCAAAGCGAGAGGAATTTCCATCAATACCTCTGTGGGTTAAAATCTTGAACCTACCTCTCTCTTTTTGGACTCCGGAAGGTATATCTAAACTTGCTAGTTGTATCTGTGGATGGCCTTACGGCAGCAAAAACTCGTCTTACATTTGTGCGTGTATGTGTGCAAGTCACTAGCTCATCGACTTTACCAGACGAAATCTTTTTTAATGTGGATGGAAAGGTTACTCCCTTACGCGTACAATATGATTGGAAACCAGACCATTGTTCACAATACGGCTCTATTATGCACCCACCATCTCTTTGTCCCAAAGACCCAATCCAAAAGCCTACCACCACAGTCACAAACAGGGGAAGAAGTTCTAGTCGTAAACCACGACCATCCCCACCACCCAGACTCATCATACCTAAATATCCTCCCACCACCAAGACTATCAACAACATTCCTCAACCAGCCCAGCTCCAAACAACCAAACAAGAAGATGGATCTATAATTCCTAATCTCAATTCACCCTCGGGAGAAGTTCAAGACACTTCTGAACTACTCCCAAAAACTCAAGACCCACCTTTTATAAAAATAGCTAACAAATTTCAGACCTTAACTGACCAAGATAAGGATGAAGAAGCTCATCCCCCTACCCAAAACCTATATCAAGCTCACTCTCCACCAAAGACTAATCACACTACCACAGACAAACTCAAACTCATTCTTAACCACAACAGTCCAGCCCACACCTCTCCCAGTATACACCAACTAAATATACCCACATCTTCCAATGACACAACAAGCTCCACCACACACTCTCCTAAATCCCAAGCCACAAATAACCAAAATCAAAAGCAAACTAGAGGCAAACAAACAAAAAAGGCCTCTACCCCTAAAAACAAATCCCAATGACCCTCCCAAACATTGCAGCTTGGAACATTAGAGGGTTTAACAACCCGGACAAGGTAAAAAGCTGTAAACTCCTTACTCAAACCCACAAACTTGAACTACTCTTCATACTAGAAGCTAAAATTATCCAAAGCAACTTTCAAAACGATTGGTTCCTTGCTAATCATCAAATCTTTTCTAGAGAAGGCAATTGTGACAATTTTATGTTTTCTAATCCCGGCCGCATTTGGGTTAAGTGGAATAAGGATGCTATTAACTTTACTCCACTTTTTTATGACTAACCAGCTTATTCATGGAACTATTACTACTGATGCTAATGATATTTGTGTTGTCACTGTTGTATATGCTAGTAACTCTCAAGATGAGAGACATACCCTCTGGAAAAACATTCAAGATTTGGCTGTGTCAATCAATACACCATGGGCTATTTTGGGTGATTTCAATTGTTGCCGAGAGATGGGGGAAAAAGAGGGGGGCTCTTCCCTTACTGCTAATAAGATGGGAGACTTCAATAATATGATTTTCAATGTTGGAATTCATGACCTTTCATCTGTAGGTCACTTCTACACTTGGCACAATCAGCAAACTCAAAACCCCATTCATATTAAGCTAGATCGTGTACTTGTTAATGATCTATGGCTTCACAAATATCCCAGCTCCTTTTATAAAGTTGAAGACCCTGACTGCTCCGATCATTCTCCTCTCATTCTGGTAAATTGGAAAGAAAATACAAATGGTCATCGTTTCCTCTTCAAGAATTACTGTATTAAATTCCCAGATTTCTGGAGTTCTCTTATGGAGGACTTTTCCTATCCCAACGAGAGCAGTCCCTTATGTTCCTTCAACTTCAAGCTTAAGAAACTCAAAAATTCTATGAATCACAAAAGTGGTCAAAATCTAATCACATTCAAGCTGACATTGATACACTCAAAGACCTCCAACATTCTGTTCTCACTTAGATTCAAACCAATCCTCTGGACCCTTATCTTAATGGAAAACTTCATCACATCAATAACAGATTAGCTCACAGTCAAGCAGCACTTTCTAGTTGGATTACTCAAAGAGCTAAAGTAAAATGGATTACTCAGGGTGAAGATGATCTGAAGTTTCTATACTCCAAAATCAATGTTACCAAAAATTATAATAAGATCAAAGCAATCTCTAATGATCAAGGCACCTACTCCACTCAAGCTGATATTGCAAAAGTCTTCATTAATCATTTTAAGACTCTTTTCAACTCCCCAGCTCCTAATCAGTTGGGCAGGGACATCCTTGCTGGAAATCTGATACCGGCTCACATTACCTCTTCCCTCTTAGCCCCGGTCACAATGGAAGAGATTAAAAATATAGTCTTTACTGGAAACTCCAACACTGCTCCCGGCCCAGACGGTTACACCTTCGATTTTTATAAATCTACTTGGAGTGTTATTCAACTTCAACTTTTTAGAGCTGTTACCTCTTTCTTCAATACGGGATATATGCCAAATCAGGTCAAAGCTACTGTCATTGCACTAGTCCCCAAGAAACCCCATGCGAATAATGTTAAAAACTACAGACCTATTGCTCTTTGTAATGTGCTCTACAAAATCATTGCTAAAATCATTGCTAATAGAATGAAATTAGTGATGCCTCTTATCATTCACTCAAGTCAAGGTGGTTTCATCCATAAGAGAATCATATCTGATAACATCCTACTGGCAGCTGATATCCTTGGTACTTTCAATATTAAAGACAAGCATAAATACTTATGTGCAAAATTTGACATAACGAAATCCTTCGACACAGTGTCTAGAGATTTCCTTTACAAACTACTTGAAGCTAAAGGATTCCCTAATATGTTTATCAACTGGATCAAAGCCTGTACATCCAATATCCACTTCTCTATTTTTATTAATGGGGTGCTTGAAGGCTACTTTAACTCTACTTCTGGGATTAGACAAGGGTATCCGCTGTCCCCCTATCTTTTTAGTATCATAATGGATGTACTGTCCTCAATTTTGGATCATGCGGTCTCCAACAACACTTTTCAACCTATCAAAGCTGGGAACTGCTTTGTCTCTCATCTCATGTTTGCTGATGACCTCCTTGTGTTTGGCTCGGCCACTACAAGGAATGCACACTCTATCAACTCTATTCTTCAGGAATTTGCAGGTAGTACTGGGCTGAAAGTGAACCCTCTAAAAAGCTCTATTCTTATTTCTAAGAACACTATTGAGGCAGAGGATATTTGCAATACCCTCAATATACATCAGTCTCTCTCATCTATCACATACCTGGGAATTCCAATCTTCTACAAAAAACTTAAAATCTGTGACTTTCAACCTCTGCTGCAAAAAATCACTACTCACCTAGATGGTTGGAAGGCTAGAACGTTTTCTCTAGCTGGGAGAATCCAATTTATCAAGTTTACTATAGCTAATACTTTAGCTTATTGGATCCGAGGTTCAATTATACCTAAAATCTGCTGTATAACAATTGCTAGGAAATGCTCCAGATTTACCTTCTATGGCAAAATCAAAGAGAAAAAACTTATGACTATTTCCTGGAATAAAACTTGCTGTCCTAAGATCAAAGGGGGATTGGGTATTCCATCAATTGAGTCTCTTAAACACAGTTATACCTGTACTACAATATGGAGATTCTTAAATGATAACTCTCTGCTATTTTCTTGGTGGAGAGCTAGATTCAATTCTTTGTGGAAACCGATTACCTGTAAGTACACTCATTACTGGAAGATTTTGTGTGCTAAAGCCATAGAGATAAAAAATTGCATTATCTTTTCTATTAATGCTAGCAGTAATCTGTCCTTTTACTGGGACCCTTGGTGTGGTGGTAATTCGATTGCTGATTTACTTAAAAATACCTCTTCATATCCCACCATCTCTTATCTTATTAATTGCCCAGTTGCCCAGCTTATTCAAAACGGAAAATGGGCCCTTCCCAATTGCTTGGATAATCACCTACTCTCTCTTATTAACTCTGTGATTATTGATCCACTATTGGAAAATCATACCTGGAAAGACAAGAAGAATCCAAAATACCGAGATTTTTACACTCAATTTTATGATAATATGGATATGATGCCTTGGTATAAACACATTTGGCATAAGAAGAATGCCCTTCGCTATTCAGTATATGCTTGGTTGGATTTTCGCGGGGGCTTAAAAACTGCAGATGTTCTTGCAGTCCGTGAAATTCTGATGCCTAATACTTGCTGCTTTTGTCATGTGGAGAGGGAAACTATTTCCCATCTTTATTTTGAATGTAGTTTTACTTTTGACATTTTAAAAAAATTATTTCCATGGTTGCAACATCTTCTAATGAGGCCAAACATGCATCAAATTTATGATAGTATATGGGACCAAGGCTACAGCACAAAAACTAGAAATCAATTTCTTCTTACTGCATCAGCTATAATTTACTTTGTTTGGAGAGCAATGAATGATAGATTATTTGGTGGGGTTATTGATTGCAAAACCACTATCATGTCTAAAATCAAGAAAGCTGTGCTGTTAAAGACGCTATGCTGGAAGTAAAACTGTATTCTATGTCCCCTGTTCGCTGGGAGTTGCTGATTAGAAAATTCTGGAATGAATTATTCACTACTGTCTTTGTGCTGGGTACTCTGGCTTACTGTTTGGTCAGAGGATTTTGCAGTTGTGGGAGACAAAAATTTTTATTGGACGATGATGAACGCTGAACTTGTTCAGCTTCCTCTTGGACGGTCTACTGGGCAACCAGAGGCTAAGCTCATACTTTGACCCTTTCGAGCCTTCGTGATTATGAGCTTTTCTGAGTCCTTGGCTTTTAGCTTTTAGTCTTTCATTTTAATTTTGAATGTAATTTCCTTTCCTTTAGAATCCAAAATCTCTTTTTGTTGTTTGAGATTGTTGGATTATAGTTTTGTTTTTTACTTACTTGTAATCTTTTTATGCAATGAATGGGCTTTGTGCCCCAAAATTTCCCGAAAAAAAAAAAGTAAACTTTGCCAATCATACCCTTCCGAAGTATCAATAATAAAATAAATTATGAGGCATTGATTTGTTGTTTGTTTTTGTCCATATTTGACTACTTTATCAGCTCGCTCTTAGGAGATTTGACTACACTTTGCAGACTTGCTTATATAATTTTATGTCTTCTTTATTAATAATGTATGGCTTGTTTTTATTAAAATATTTAATATTATTGATACATTAAAAAAGCTAATTGTATATGCATGCTAATTGAAAGTCAAAAAAAAAAATTAAAGAAAAAAGATAATTAACAAATAATTAAATAAAAATCAAATTTATTTTATATTAATTATTAGTAGAGAACCCCGACCACAATAACCGTCCATCAGCTTTGATGCTATGACAATCTATTTTTAAATTTTAATTTTTAATAATTGAATTATTTATTATATCTATTTTTAAATTTTTTTCTCGTCTTTAAGTGCCCCATAATAGTGGAAATTGGAGATCCTTTATTTATTTTTTTGCGAGATAAGTACAAAATTTTATTTTGGATTAAATCAGTTTTAATATTATTTTTAATATTCAAATAAATTAGTTTTTAAATATCTTCTTCAAAACTTACGTTAAAGTTTCATTACTTCTGTTTAATGTTTACAGTCTTAAAAAGAAAATTATTTGGTAATAATTAATAATACAATGAACATAATCCAAGTTAAGTCTGCTAAGAAGGGGCTGATAAAAGAGTCAAATATAAACTAAAGTGAATAGCAAATCAATTCTCCATATATTTTTGATTGGTGATTCTTTGGAAGGATATGATGATAGTCAAGTTTACATCATTGAATGTTTAGGGGCGCAAAGGCCGGCAAGATTGACGAGATTGAAGACAAATAAATTATTTGAGGAACATTTTATTAATAAATAATTAAAATATATTTTAAAATTAAAATATTATTTGTTACTTATATATTTTTATATTAAAATAAACTCGAGAGCTTAAGACTAATTAAAATATTTATCAAAATATTTTCCAAAAATGAAATTTTTAGTACATAATTAATTTTTTTTATTAAAATAGAGCAAGTAATGGATTAACAAGTAAATTTTAAATGGTTGTTAATTTGAGGCAAATGGTCTAATTGGTCGAATAGTGGTGGTTTAATTAAGAGTCAATTGAGCTCAATTCATCCAATAATTAAGTAATTGAAATGGTTTTCAGTTATAGCTCGAGCTGAATTTGGTCAAATTGGCTGTAAGTGGTAAATCTAGCCAATTGTGGCTAAGTGAACAATTTGGCCTATTTAAGAGGTGGTTGGGATCAAGGCAATTATTATTTCTCATTAAAAAGTAAGTACATATATTTGTTCTGTTATATTAAATTGTATATCATTATAATTTTTTTGTTAAAGATATGGAGTGATACTTCAAAATAAAGGTTGATGTAGTTGAGCATGATCTAAATTGTAATGATATTAATACACAATCCAAATATATATCTTTGTGTGGAAAATTTTGATGATTTATCCATTGACCCTAGATTAAGGAAACAATATTTCTGATTATCATCCAAATGATTGAGATACAATAAAAAGAACATACTTATTAAGAGGGACTTGTAAGCCTCATGACCATGAATTTTCTCAAACAAAATTCGGAAATAAATTACGTAGGTTTAATCCAGTTTAGTTTGATAGTTACAAAGCATGGTTAGAGTACAGTCTCATCAAAGATTCAGCTTATTGCTTATTATATTATCTTTATATATCTGAAATAGGAGATCAAGCAAGTGGTGATAGCTTCGATAAATAAGAAATTTTGAGTTGAAAAACAAAGGATAGATTTCAAGTCCATGTTGGGCAAGTAAATAGTTTTCATAACATTGCATATAGTGAAGATCTAATGAATCAAAAGCAAGACATTAGATTTGCTATTACAAAGCCTTCTAATCAAAATTGAAAAGACTATGTAACTCATTTAATTGCTAGTAGTATTGATTGTGTCTGATTTCTATTGCATCAAGGTTTAGCTTTTCGTGATCATGATGAATCAAATAATCATGAAATTTTTTGGAACTTCTTCATTTCCTTGCATCACATGATAAAAGTATAAGAAGAGTGGTTTTGGAGTGCCCCATAAAATAATAAGCTTATTGCTCCAGACATTCAATGGAGCATATTTGGTGATTTCTATCTAGACGTTCTAGTTATATAGCCAAGCCTCTTATATAGGGTTTTTTTTTTCATCAAACCATAGATAATTTGACCATAAAATACTATTAAAGAAGGTTTGTTACAATCCAAGGTCTATATTAAAAGAATTACATTAATCTATCATTTAAACCATTTAACTATAGCTTACTAATGAACAACGAAAAGAAATATTGTTGCTTTTTTGTTTTGTCCGAAGCCTTATATCATAGGATCTTTACTCTTTCCTAAAAACATGTAAAATCACATAATGAGCACATACTTCATAAAGTAACTAAAATCTTATAATTGAGATCAATACAAGATAAAAAAAAAGAATAATATGCTATAAATCATATCAGAAAATATATGCAACAATGTCTATACTGGTTATCAATATCAATTTAACCTTTTTATAGTTCATCATATCTCAAAACATTATATAATTCATCACAATAAGGAATAAGAGGCAACAATACTAATTAATATTGTTAAATAGTAATAATGACATTAAAAATTATTAGTTTCAATCACAATATCAGTACAGTGCTCATAAGAGTGTTGGTATCAATATTCAAATATTCAATGAGTGTAAGTTAAGGGTATCTTATTCGTGCACCTATGTCTCTCAATCAGTCTCCCTTCATAACTCCCAATCAATATACTCTTTACAACTCCCTTTGAATTACATGAATCAATCGACCCAACTCCTAATAACTCCCAATTAAACTACAGCTTATTATGACTCCTAATTAGTGAATTATATGAATTAGTAGGACGTCAAATGGAGTTATCATATCATCTATCTGATATCATTAGGTACTTCATTTAAAATGTAATAAAATCATATCAAATCTTTAAGAATATTCAAATCTATAACATATCTAAACATGTACGGTGAAAGCTTATGAAATTAGGAGATAATAAATTTTTAGCAGATTTATGAGAGATAAAATTCATGTAAACCACAATCACTAAAATTAGAAGTAAGAGATTAGTCACTTAGAATGAATATAATAAATTTTCTCTAACTGGAATGACTAATAATATTTATCCCATGACCTTTCTCTTTTCTCTATCTTCTTTCACTCTTTCACTTTCTTCTTGGCCAAGCAACCAAGTGAAGGAGTAGATGGGGTGAGGAAGGGATATATATATAATTCATGGCCTCGCACCGTAGTGTTCACCAGGTTAGTTCCAAAGTGCTCTACTTCAGAATTTTCATATTTTTTTAATAATATTATCTCACATATGTAAGTTTTTATAATCTCCCCACCTTCAAAAAAATGTCATGCTTGTTATTTCTATATCAGTCACACAGAGAGAGAGAATGATCAAAATAAAATTTTAAATTCAAATGAATAATTATAAATCAAAAATTACATTTCTATTATGTTCAAAAGCTCTAGTTATATTTGAATTCTTCCAATAACCATCATTATGAATCATTTTGTCACAATCTATGATCTATATTGAAGAATTTCATGAGTCTTTCATTTTAATCATTTAATTAGTGCTTACCAATGAATAACAAAAAGAAATATAAGTATATTTTTATCTTTTCTGGAGCCTTATATCATAGGATCTTTAACATTTCATAAAAACATGTAAAATCACATCATGAGCACATAGTCCAGCAAATAACTAAAATTTTACAACTGAAATTAATACAAGATAAAAAAGAATAATATGTTATAAATCATATAAAGAAATATATGCATCAATATCTAAACTGATTATCTATATCAATTTATCTTTCTATAGTTCATCACATTTCAATCTATTATATCATTAGTCACGGTACCAGTAACAATCAACAATAATAATTAATAATATTAAATAGTGATAATGATTTTAAACAGTATTAATATTAGTCACAATATCAATCTAGTACTCATAAGATTGTTGGTATTAGTATTTACATATTCAATGAGTGTATCTTAATGGTATCTTACTCCTTCATTTATGACTCCTAATCACTCGCCCCATATAACTCTCAATCAATGTACTTCTTATAACTCCTCTTGAATCACATAAATCAATCACCTTGACTCCTCATAACTCAAAATAAATCTCCAACTCCTCATGACTCACTATCAGTGAATCAAATGGATCAGTAGGGTATCATGTGGAGTTATCATGTCTTGTATCTGATATTATTCAGTACTTCATTTAAAATACAATAAAATCTTATCAAATCATTTAGAATGAAAAAATCTATAATATCTCTAAACTCGTATAGTGAAAGCTTATGAAATTAGGATATAATATATTTTTGAAATTTAGGAGAGATAAAATTCATAGAAGACAAAATCATTAAAAATAAAAGAAAGAGATTAGTAATTTAAAATGAATAGAATAAAATATGTAACAAAAATGGCTGACAAATATGAACCAAAGATATTTTCTTTCCTCTCTTGTTCCTCTCTTTCAATTTCGTCCTAGCCAAGCAACCAAGTAAGAGAGTCAATGGGTAAGGCAAGGATATACATATACATACTATCATGGCATAGCACCGTAGCGCTCACCAGATCACCATCAAAGCACTAAACTTTAGAATTTTTCATATTTTTAAAGAAACTTTATTTCACATGGGTGAGTTGTTACAATAGTTATAAA